AAGTTCTCCACCGCTGGCTGGGAAGGGGACGGTCGACCGCCGTCCGTGGAACGGTCCACGGGGTCGACCGTTTGGAGCTGTTCTGGATCGCTAACTTTCTGCCTCGGAGACGGTTGACCGTCTTCCTCATCACGGTCGACCGTTTGATCATCTCCCAAAGAACCGTCATTCTGCCTCTCGAACGGTCCATCGTGTATATCAGGACGGTCCACCAGATCGACCGTTCAGTCATCTCTCAAGGATCCTTCATTCTGCCTCTCTGACGGTCGACCGTGGACATCGGAACGGTCCATCAGGTCGACCGTCTATAGCCGGTCAGCTCTGCTGCTTTCCTCCGGTCGACCGTCCCTCCTGGAACGGTCCATCTGTTCTTCCGTCTGCAGTTCTTCATCTTCATCATAAGAGATAACCTCATTTGTACTTCCTGTATCAAGAGATGCACCTATAGGAGTCAAGAAAGGAAAAATATCTTCATAAAACACAACATCCCGGGGCACCTTAATTTCCCCAGTGTCTGGGTAGTAAATACGTCAACCCTTCTTCCCTTGTGGATATCCGACAAATGTCCCAGGATTGCTTCTTGGTGCGAATTTATCTCCATTCCTCTTCAAGTTATGAGCATAGCATCTGCATCCAAAAACACGAATATGAGCTAAAGAGGGGGGCTTTTCATAAATCTTCTCGTATGGTGTGACCCCCCCTAGCAAAGACGACGGTGTGCGATTGATCAGATGTGCGGCGGTCTGTATACACTCTCCCCAGAACTCAATCGGAAGACTAGCCTGAAACCTCAAAGCCCGACCCACATTCAAAATGTGTCGGTGCTTACGTTCTACTCTCCCATTCTGTTGTAGAGTAGACACACAAGACGTCTCATGAATAATTCCTAGCTCCTGAAAATATTCGTTTAGACATTCAAATTATGTGCCATTATCACTGCGAACACACTTTATTTTCTTCCCGAATTGTCGTTCTACCATAGCACAGAATTGTTTAAAAACAGTGCCAACTTTGCGTTTGGAATCAAGCAAATGTACCCAAACACCTCTTGAAAAATCATCCACAATAGTCAAGAACATTGTAGAACCATCAAGACTTGGAGTCCTATATGGTCCCCATAAATCACAGTGTATCATATCAAATTTATCAACAGATTGATAAAAACTTATAGGAAAACTCCCACGAGTCTGTTTAGCATGTAAACAAATGTCACAACAACTGTGACTTCTCTTACTTGTTCCAACTTCAGGAACAAGAGACAAAACATGAGAGGAAGGATGTCCAAGTCGTTTGTGCCAGAGATCAAACTTACTCTCCTTTTTTGCACTGCACACCATCTTCTCTTCAGGCTCCTGAAAGTAATAAAGTCCTCCTTCTTGCTCACCCATACCAATTTCTGTCTTCGAATGCAGATCCTGTAGTATACACTTATTGTTGGCAAAACGTGCCTCACAATTCGAATCCCTTGTCAATTGTGACACAGAGATTAAATGGCAACTCAAAGTGGGGACATATAAAACATCATGCAGAATTAATGTTTCTGTCAACTTAATCTTACCCGATTGAACAGAAACAATTCTTTTCCCATTGGGCAAACCAATCTCACACGGTGATATTCCCACAACATCATACAATAACGAAATATCACCAGTCATATAATTTGATGCCCCAGTATCTATAATCCACTGCGGTGACACAGGAATACCTGAAAGCTTCAAACTAGAAACACATGATGATAGCGAGAAAAACATCTTCCTTGGTTGTTCATCGGCCATGGCGGAAGAATCAACAGCAGCATCAATCAAACAATCTGCCGACGGGACGGTCGACGTGCTCGACCGTTCTAGAGCAACGGTCGACCGTTCCGTTATCTGGCAACAGCAACAACCGACTAAAACTGAGCAACGATCGATGGACGCCATGCCAGGCGATCGTGAACAGTAGTCGTAGAAAATTTCTAGGGTTTTGGCTCCGATACCATGAAAGAATAGTGTAAGAATAATGAATTGGGAGGAAATTCTCTCTCGACTTCTTGTGTTCAATTTACAAAGTAGACATGTATATATAGGCTCTCACAGGTTGAGAAACCTAATCACAAAAAGAAACGAAATCAACCCTATACAAGGAAGCTACCAAAAATAATATATACACAAATATCTCCAAATATTCTACCAAATATTTCTTTCCTTTAACAAGGACACATGCCCCTCTTACTTTTTTTAAAGCAAAAATTATATGTCCTTTCTTTTCTTCGATCTTGAATTTTCTCAATTTTATTTTCCTTTATTATACAAATATATAAATTTAATATATTTATAAAATTTTCTCTATTCTCAATATTCTCTCTCTCTCTCTCTCTCTCTCTCGGTTTCTACCCCCTCTGCTTTCTGTTTGTTACTGCGCACACTGGATGTTGTAATAAATTTAAGAATTTGATGTTGTAATAAAGTAGAAGAAATTGGAAAAAATACGAAGAAGTTAGAGGAAAATTAGGGCTGTCAAAGCATAGTCGATAATTCGATTACCGTCTGCATCTGTATCCGTTTAAAGAGAAAATATCCGCATCCGTTTTAAACAGTTATTATCTGTATCCGATTAAGAATATCTGATTACTAAACGGATATGGATTTGGTAATTGTATATCCTATCCGTTTAAAATATGATCCGGATAAATAACCGTTTATGCGAATATTCGATCCGTTATATATAGTTTTGTCTAATTTTTTATGTTTATATTTTGTTTCACTATTAATATTAAAGTATAAGACATTTGTATATACAAAATAAATATTTAGACACATAAAAATATGTGTAGACATATAAAAATATGTGTATATGTCCACTGTGTACATCTTTGAAAATAAATGTCTAGACATATAAAAATATGTGTATACCTTTCAAAATATTGTTTAATTTGATTTTAAAAATTGGAAACGGACACGAATATATCCGACCGATATCTGACGGATACAGATACGGTTTTGATTTTCAGTATCCGTCAAGATTCGTATCCGAATTTGATATCCGACAAAAATAAATGGATATGGATTTGGTTATAGCACATCCGATCATATTAATATCTGTTTGGCACCCTTAAGGAAAATAAAATAAATTGAAAAAAATTTGGAAGGAGTTGAATATAAATGGTAGAAAATTTAGGAAAGAAATTAAAATTTTGAAGAAAAAATGTTGAAATGAGTAATATATTTTGGAAAGTTAATATTTTTATCAAAATAATTTTTCCTTTTTTTATTTTTTTTATTTTTTCATATGTTAAACCATTTTTATTTCATACCATGTACATGTATTATCGTACTCATACTTAATATTACTTTTTTTAAAACTCTTTAAATCTATATCAATAGTATACATTTTTATTTCTTATTTTCATATATATGTTAACCCATGTACTAATATTTTTCATTAATCTTATTTAAACCAATCAACATTATATCAATCAACAAATAATCTAAATTATGGATTATTACAAAACTACAAAGCGGAATGTATATATAATAAATTAATTTACTTAACATTTTAATATTTTACATTGACTCTATAATGATAACTTATACCGTAGTACTTCGTATATGTTTTTGGGACAAAAGAAATATTTTTTGTATGAAAATTGAGATATTACTTTAGTTCTTTATTTTATTTTAATTACAATAGTGATGACAATAGTAGTAATAGTAATAATTATAATTACAATGAATGTAATAGAAATATTATTAAAAATAAAAATAAATAATTTTTTAAAGTTGTTATTTGAATAAACTTGAGGTGGTTGAAAAAGCCGAAAAAAATTGAAAAATGTCGGAAATAAATTTTCATTCAAAAGAAAAAGACCCGTAGATAAGTAAAAAGGAAAAAAATTGGGTCATTATGTAATTTTCAAAAGTTAAAATGGTGTGAAATGTTTTATTTATTTACATGATTAAAAAATCCACATGACAATAATGTACTAGAGGGACATCCATGCCCCTTCATTAGCCAATGCATGGAAGAAATTGCCATCTTTTATATGCTTCACTCATGCTTGATTTTTTCTCTTTGCTATATTATATTTTAGTATAGCTCTAACAAAAAAAAGGTATGATTTTAAAAATGTTAAATTTTGAATTAAGCCTTTTTGCATGGTCAATCGAAACATCATATTATTAATGTATCAGTCAAAATATAAAGGTTAATATCTGATAGATAGGATCCGAAACAGATTTTTTGATTGCTCTCAATTCTAATGCCTGCAAGATGATAAGCAAGAAAGTTACCTTCCCGCCTAACAAATGACCAAATTCATGGGTGGCCCGGAGGGTGTGCAAAGTGATCAATTGCATAAGATCCCAAAAATTTCAGGGCCTAATATTTTTAAATTTGTTAATAATTTACATGTAACTTATTTATATGTCATGTCCTTTGAAATTTATCATATAAGATGATACTTGTCAATATTTTAGTTACATGACTGTCAAATATTATAGTAAGGAATGAACCAAATAACATAGGCCCATTACAATAGATACTCTTACCTTAATTGAATTACTCTAATTTTTTAAATTAAATAAGTTGCTTTTGCTTTTATGAGTTTATTTTGATAAAAAAAATAATCACTTAGTCTTAACGTATTTATAAGCGGATAAAGTATACAATCGTATGACACGAACCATGATCCTCCAACATTCACAGTTTGGAGTGATCTTCGACAGTGGATGGATGGTCATTGACACGGATTGAACAATAAAACAAACGGACTATGAAACTCAGAAAATTTTATGCGTGAGACGGGAATTCTGGCCTGTTTTTGAGAAGAATGTATATATAGATAGAATTATATGAAGATAAAATACTGCTATTAATCGAATTTAAATTAGGCATATGATTTCTCAAATCTAATTAGGGTATACGAATATAAATTAGGCATGAATCACGATTTTAATTTTTTCAATTAATTGAAGAAAGCATATTTGTATTAATCAACCCTAATTTTCAGTTACAATTAGGGAAAAATTGGGGTAGCTGAAGAAGAAGAATGGAAAGGCGTATCGCAGTACTTGGGATTTCTTTCCTTCCGTAATCCAATGCAGTGAGGAATCAGAGACGAATGACAATTCATTTCCTTTCAGCGTGAAGATTTGCAGCGAGGAATCAGAGCGGATTTCTTTCCTTTCGTGCGAAGAACTTGAATGAGAGAAAGAACGGGTACTGGAATCTAAATTCGTTCCCTCTCACTTCTTTGACACATGTCATCCGACGTGTCACCAAACTAAGAGTCTAAATTTGCTACATGTCAATCAATTATCAAATACTCCATATGTCCACCATAGATCTTCCCAATAGCCCTTTTTCTTTGTCCACAATAGATCTTCTCATTTCATTTTTTAACAAGTAAAATACCACAACTACCCCCACTTACTTTATTTATTACACCTCACCTACCTCATTTAATACACTCCACCCATTTTTCATTAAGGGTATTATGGTAAACTTTCACCTTTTTTCAACTCTCCTTAAAAACCACCAAAAGTCAAAATGAGAACATCTTAAGCGGACGGAGAGAGTATTATATTAAAGGATTTACTTAAAATAAAATACGAAGTATTTATAATTAGAAAAAATGCTAGGGGTACACCAAAAGTGTACCCCAAATATCCCCCACCCCCTCCTTGTCCACTAAAAAAGGCAAAAAAATTCAAAAAAATTAAGTAAATAAAAATCAAATAAAAATGTGTAGAAGGAAAGATGGTGGTGTACCCTTTTGGTGTACCCCTAGCATTACTCTTATAATTAAGGGGCATAAGAGCAACTACAGCGCATAGTGTATATGCATAAATATACACTTTATGCCATTTACTATTTATATTTTCCCTCTCCAATGCATTGTGTATACCTAATGGTAAAATGCACTATAGTGCAAAATACCACTCCCACCTTCTATTTATACAAGATCACTATTACTCATTCTTTTCCTCTCTTTTTTTATTTCTCTTTCTTCTTCTCAATTTGCTTCACATTCATCCTTTTGTAAATTTATTTCTTTCATTTATTGTGAGTTAATTCTATTTCTTTTACATATTGTAATTTTATTCGTAAGTGACATTCTCCATTCTAATAATTAAACTATGAATTAAAATAAGTATTATGAATAAATAATTTAGAATAATAAAAAAATTAAAAAATGTATTATATAGAATATATGATTGGAGTAATTATTAAAAAGTGGGTGTGTATAACACTGTTGATAGTGTAAAATTGATTTTACACTACCACTTTATACCCTATGCACTGGAGATGCTCTAAGGGCTAATTTCTATTTGGATATCCGAGCCAATTTATGGCTTACCCCGTTTGGTCCGTTTTGAAAATGGAGAATGCTAAAATTCTCCCACTTTTGAGGGTGGAGAGAGAATGAGTGGAGATAAATATGTGGTGGAGAAATGGGTGGGGCAAGTTGGTAGCATGATCCTTCGAAAATAGACCGAGCCAAGAGCGTCCCAAGTTTTTCGCAAAATAGGATTCCAAACGCGGCCTTCTCCCTGCTCGATCCAGATAAAAACTCAGTCTTGTGCCATTGTCATTCACACGAACCCTAGAACACTCATTTGATTCTCCACTGTGTGTTTCCCACAGAAGCATTTCCATTTCCACCAGATCCCAAACCCATCAATGGCGTCTCGGAGGCTTCTGGCCTCGATTTTCCGATCTACGGCCAATCGTGGCGGCTCATTTTCCAGATCCGTCGTCGGGAACTCAGGTCCTCGGCTGAGGCCTTCGTCTCCTGCATCCCCGGTTGGGTTTCTCCTGAATAGGGCCGTTCGTTACGCTACCTCCGCTGCGGCTCCAGCTGAGAAGCCGGCGGCTAAGCCGCCTTCTGGAAACGAGCCGACGGGGAAGATCACGGATGAGTTCACCGGGAAGGGGGCGATCGGTAGCGTCTGCCAGGTGATCGGAGCTGTTGTGGATGTCAGATTCGACGAGGGCCTGCCTCCGATTCTCACGGCTCTCGAGGTTCTCGACAACCAAATCCGGCTCGTGCTGGAGGTGGCACAACACCTGGGTGAGAACGTGGTTAGGACCATTGCTATGGATGGTACTGAAGGGCTTGTCCGTGGCCAACGCGTTCTTAACACCGGTTCTCCTATCACTGTGAGTTATCTTGATGACGCTCATCCCCTTTCTCATTTCCAGAGGTTGTTGCTTTATTTGGCAGTTTTGACTTTTTGTTCGAGGATATTGGCTTTACAACGTGATGCTTTTAAATATTCAAATCCTTTTAGATCTTGAATTGGGAAATCATTTATCTATTCATAGATCGCATATTTCCCAATCATTTTATATAACTGAAGTAGTCAGTTCAACATTTGTGTTAATTAATCTGATTCAATGACAAACTGGGCCTATATTCAAAATATTCATGGGAAAGAAATGGAATTCTAACATTATATGTGCTGCCACATTTTTGGAATTATTCTGTAAATGAAAAAAAACTGTTTCTTTTATAATTGTTTCTGGTTGATTTTAGATGTTCTTGCAATTGTAGGTTCCTGTTGGAAGGGCCACTCTTGGTCGTATCATCAATGTCATTGGAGAGGCCATAGACGAGAGAGGCCCAATTGGTAAGTCTTATCATGCTTTTAGAAATTTAGTAAGGATCTGTTTGGTACACTGAATTCAAGCCGTGGAATTGGAATTGTGGACTTCAATTCCAATTCTAGTGTTTGGTAGCACAAAAATATGTGTATTTAGAATTGGTAGTGCAAAAATGAGTTAGAATTGGAGAATTCAATTCCAATTAAATTACAATTCCGTCAATTCCATGTACAAAACGGACGCTAATGTTTTTAGGTAAATTACTTACGTAGTATGTTATAAGGTCTAATCGTCAATTGTGCAAAAATTTCTGCAGACACTGAACACTTTTTGCCAATCCATCGAGAAGCTCCAGCATTTGTTGAACAAGCTACTGAGCAAGAAATTCTTGTAACTGGAATTAAGGTATTCTCATTGGTGACCGCTTGTCCTTTTCTGTTCTGACCACTACCCTTGAAAGCTCCCTATATCATTCACATAGATTTGATTTTGAATCACTGATGTTTTGTTATTTGATCAGGTGGTAGATCTTCTTGCCCCTTATCAAAGGGGAGGTAAAATTGGGCTTTTTGGTGGTGCAGGAGTTGGAAAGACTGTACTTATTATGGAGCTGATTAACAATGTTGCAAAAGCTCATGGTTAGTCATGCCTTTTCTTTCACTCCTCTTTTAAGCTCCATAGTCATGCAGGTTGTGCTTATCCACTGTTTTTTCAACCTATCATCAGGTGGTTTCTCTGTCTTTGCTGGTGTTGGTGAGCGCACTAGGGAGGGTAATGATTTGTACAGAGAAATGGTTGAAAGTGGTGTCATAAAGCTCGGTGCTGAGCAAGTTAGTAATATATTATTACTGTAACCTTCCATTGCTCTTCCCATGCTCCAATAAAATATTCTTCGAATTTGCTGATATCTAATCACACCAAATGAATTTCAGAATCTGAGCAAATGTGCTCTTGTGTATGGTCAAATGAACGAGCCCCCTGGTGCTCGTGCCCGTGTTGGACTCACTGGACTGACTGTTGCCGAGCACTTCAGAGATGCTGAGGGTCAGGATGTGCTTCTATTTATTGACAATATCTTCAGGTTTACCCAGGTTAGTAACCAAAAATATCCCAGTTTTGTTAGTCTTTGTAAGGGCTATTTTTTTATTTACACCTCTTATCTTTGCACCGTCCTTAAATAACCATTCCTTCTCTTGTTGAAAAATGTGTTGTCTTGAGTCTTTCGTATCTAAATAAATACAACAAACATCAACCACAATTTTGTATTTAAACTCTGTTCTCACAGCAACCCAGTGGAATTCCACATATCGGATTTAGGGATGGTGGATATATGCAGATCTTACATCTCATGATAAAAGGATTGAAAGGCCATTTCAGAAAGACCATTGGCTCAAGAAAAACAAAAAAATGAGTTATACAGGTCAATATAATGATGTGTAAAAAATTGCAAAACACATCATAGTTGTCACGGCGGCTAGGCAAGGCTAGGCATTAGTGTACCTTCCAGACGCCTAGGCGAATAGGCGCCCACCTAGGCGTCCCCTAGGTGAGTGGGCTACATCGACCTTTATAATTTTATATGTAGTAATGTAAAAACATATAGTATGGAATAAATAATTAAAGAGTACATTGATGCTGACATTATGCAAGAGAGAGTTTCAAAAAAACAACACAACTTAAAGTCTGGAAGTGAATAAAGCAAAAAAGAAATGTTTGAACTTTCATATCCATATCTCTAGTTCATGACTAATGATTCATTAATCATTAATCATCCACGAATAAGAGCTCATCACTCAACATTTCATGGGTTGTCCTTCTTGACTCCTCGTTACTCATAGTGCACCTAATGCCATAATCATCATCCACTTCTTCATCATCATTAGGAAACACTTCAACTTCAATATCTTCATTTTGTAAGCCTTCAATATCATCAGTCAATGACACTGGAGTAGATGCAATAGAAGTAGATGAAGTACTCCTTCGAGAAAAAGTTATCAAATCATTTTGAGATGTTTGATCTACTGGCAGCTGCCCTGGGCAGATTGCGACCAAGAAGATTAGTTGATGCACCAATGGCTTCATCAACATGTGCCCATGAAAGATCACTTCCAGAATGAACCGCATCTGCATTGCTATCAACCCATTCGTTCTCCCACTGAAAATCATCAAGGCACAATGGGTTGTAGTTACTTGATTTTTCCCTTTCTTCTCGCAGCTTTTGGAACCTTGCTGCAATTCTCCGGTTGTATTGGATATAAACCAAATCATTTAATCTTTGATGCTCCAATCTATTTCTTTTCTTTTTGTGAATCTAAGGAAAAGTTTATAATTAAACATGTATAAGAAATTTAGAATAAATATTGAATATTAATAATTAGGCTAATTACTAATTAGTGGTTTGTAACTTACGAACTCAAAGGTGCTCCAATTGCGTTCACAACCAGATGAAGAACAACAAAGGCCTATGATATGCTTTGCAAACTTTTGGAGGTCTCGCACGTCATTACCAAAAGATGCCCACCAATCAACTACAATACAATTTTAAATATTATAAACCAATGTATGTAAAAAAATTAATATTAAGTGAAGAATATGACAATACGTACGAGGAGTTTTTGTTTTCTGTTGTTTGACTGTCAATGATTTTCCAAATGTCCCTCGCATGGAAGAATAGTCATCAGCTTGATTACTTATCTTTTCTTGTGCTCCTTCATCAACAATCATTTTCTCCAACACATCATTGAACATGGAACGTAGATCCCCTGCGTAATCTGGATCCTTTATTTTCAGGTCGAAAAACTTGTCAGGTGATAGATATAATGCAGCCCCATATAGCTTTTGCCCCATTTGATCCTCCCAACGAGTTGTAACAATGTCCAAAACTTTCTTCAACAGTGCTTGCTTATTTTTGAAAACATCATGGAGCTTATCTTTTGCCACATCCATTGCCGCAGAAACCTCAGTGATAGCAGGCCTTTCATCGCCATCGACTATCCTCAACACTACTAGTAGTGGTTGTGATGCCCTCAAACAATCTTCCACCCCATTCCAAAATGTGGTGGAAAGAATAATATCTTGCACATTTTTGCCTCCCTCTGTTTTAGCCAATTTGCACCTGTTCCAATCATCACAAACAAATAAAGTTCTCAAAGGATTGTTGTACCTGTACATTGATTGCAATGTAAGAAATGATGTGGCAAAGCTTGTCATTGCAGGCCTCACGAGATCCCGTCCCCCTGTCTTCTCCCTCATTGCATCAAGGAGTCTACCATGTCGGTAGATGAATCTGGTGACACTCTTAGCACTAACAATAGTACCCTTAAGCTCTTGCAAGCCACAAATGTCTTCCATCATAAGGTCAATGCAGTGTGCAGCACAAGGTGCCCAAAATAAGGTTGGGGTTATCCCCATAAGTTGTTTCCCTGCTGCCTTATAATTAGAACCGTTATCAGTGACCACTTGCACAACCTTACCCCTCCCAATTTCTTCTATTTGTTTGTCCAACAAATTTGTCAACAAAGTCGCATCATGAGATTCACTCGAGGCATCAACAGAACCAAAAAAAAATGTCCCCTCCGGACTATTGACTTGAAAGTTGATCAAGTGGTGACCCCTTTTAACCGTCCATCCATCCGACATAAGCGTGCAACCGTACTCTTTCCATGCAATCTCGTGCTTCTCTTTTAATTTGTCTGTCTCTTCTTTGGCCCCTTGTAAGAGAGGCACTCGCAAATCATGGTATGAAGGAGGCTTTAGTCCAGGACCATATTGCCAAATGGATTCAATCATTATCTCATATGCCCTTGAATTTGCAACATTGAAAGGTATGCCACATTCATAAAAAAAATTTGCTATATGCATGTAAACTCTATCCTTCCCTTCTTGGGTCCTTGCAACTTCTTCAAGTGTTTGTTGTCGTGGTCCTTTACTATGTCTATCTGCGACTACTTCTTCAGGAGTCTTTCGGATCATGCTTGCAATTGACTTCGTAACGTTCTGTGTTGGCTTTGCAAAATCCATCATAGTTCGTTTTCTTTTTGCAGCAGTTCCTGAGCTAGGTTTGGGGGCTGTTTCTGTTAGTGTGCTACCCGAAATTGGTACTTCACTCCCATTTTGATCTTCTTTGTCCAACACAATGGTCTTATTTCTCTTATTCGAATTCAAGTAGGCATCCATCTGTCTCCTGATTGAAGTGGTAGTCTTTTGGCATATAACAACATCTCCGTATCCTCCGGTGAGATGTTGTTTGAATCCCTTGATTCCCCCGCTAATTGGCCGATCACATAAGATGCATTGAATCACATCTTTATTACTACGATTTGGCCAAAAACCATATTCCCATCCTGGATCATTGGAGCTGGCCTTGTTCTTTGGATTCTTTGATGGGTCATCATACTCATCATTTTCGTTAGGTTCGGCCATTAAGAATCTGAAATATATGAATAAATATTGTTTGAAAAAATAAATTTAAAAAGATACTAAAAAAAGTTAAGTGCCAAAAGAAGAGGAGAGAGTAAAAAAAAGGATAAAAAAGTCTATCCTGGAAAAGTACTCTCTGCCTACTGCTGATAAGTACTCAAACAAATAAGTGCCTATGCTAATGTATCGGAACCTTAAAGAAACAGAAACAATTGAATCAGAGAAAGAAAAAGAATTAATTTCTGTTGAGAGAGAGGGTTATCGAAACTAGAGCAGTAGACTCGAAGGTATGTTGACCGGCTAGGTTTTATTTCGTTATCACAAGTGGGCTTTTAATTTTTTTTAAAAAAAATTTAACGCTGGGCGTCGCCCAGTCGCCTAATCGCAGCTTCCAGGCGCCAAAAGGATGCCATGGTCGCCCAGGTAAAAAAACCTAGGCGTGAGGTTAGGCGTCCAAATCACATCGCCCAGACGCCTAGGCCATGCCTTGATAAGTATGAAACACATACAATATAATGAAAGAAAGAGTAAATAACAAGACATGCAAGTCATCTAGCTCCATGATAAGTCAATTATGGTAAATTAAATAGGAACTGGGGAGCATTTATTTATTTGCATTTGTTTTTCTAAATATCACAGGCCAACTCAGAGGTCTCTGCTTTGCTTGGGCGTATCCCATCTGCTGTCGGTTATCAACCAACCTTGGCAACCGATCTTGGAGGCCTGCAAGAACGTATCACAACTACTAAGAAAGGGTCCATTACATCAGTGCAAGCTATTTATGTGCCTGCTGATGACTTGACTGATCCCGCTCCTGCAACAACCTTTGCCCACTTGGATGCCACAACAGTCTTGTCTCGTCAGGTAATACCGGTTCATCTATTTTTTGTTGTGTGATGCTAAGGGTGTGCTTGGAACATGGAAATTGCCATGCAGAGAAAATATGGAGGAAGAAAAAAAATGAAATTCTTGAAGGAAATAAAATATGGAGAGAACATTAGAATTGCTTCAAACTATAAACCAATTAATATAGAATATTAATCAAATTTCCAACAATGATTGTGCTACCACTCTACTAATTGAAATTATTTGGGAGCACTAGATATCCGAGCTTGGTATTTATCCGGCTGTCGATCCCCTTGATTCCACATCTAGAATGCTTTCTCCCCACATCTTGGGAGAGGAACACTACAACACCGCTCGTGGGGTACAGAAAGTCTTGCAGAACTACAAGAATCTTCAAGATATTATTGCTATTTTGGGTATGGATGAGCTTAGTGAAGATGACAAATTGACTGTTGCACGTGCCCGTAAAATTCAAAGGTTCCTTAGCCAGCCTTTCCACGTGGCTGAGGTGTTCACTGGTGCCCCTGGAAAGTATGTTGAGCTGAAGGAGAGTGTTGCCAGTTTCCAGGTAAGCTCAGCATTTTATTTTGCTTTACGATCTAGCAATAACCTGTAGGGGTTTTTGTAGTGTTGATTAACTTGATTTTACTCAATTTGGTGTTTTGGCCTGCAAAGTCTTCAATCATGCACTTTAGTACTATCAACTAAGGCATGCATATTTTACTCTAATTATGAAGGGCATTTTCTGTTCGCCCATTGGTCAAAATTGTTTTACAAATCAGTCCTAAATTGGGTCTTAAATCATTTGTACTCCGTAATAGAGTACCAGATTGAGTCTAAAATAGCAAATATGGCAAATTCCCAAAACTACCCACATTGTTATCTAGAACCAAATATGCATGTGAACCAAATATTCCAAACTGCCTAGCTGAGGACTGAAATAAGTTGCAAGTAGTGACTGATCAATTGAAAATGTGAACAGCATGCATGACAAAAACTTCTATTAATTCTAAACATTTCTTTGTGCATCCGACTTGTAAATGTAACCCGCTGAGACACTTCTGATTGTTTATAAACAATATTTGGGGATTTGCTTGACAGGGCGTGCTGGACGGGAAATACGACGATCTTTCTGAACAGTCCTTTTACATGGTGGGTGGTATCGATGAGGTCATTGCCAAAGCAGAGAAGATTGCCAAGGAATCTGCTGCCTAGAACAAGAAGAAGAAGATTAAGCAATCTTTTTCCCAGGATTCTCTCCCCCTCACCTTTTTGTGTTTTTGGTTGATGATCGCGAAATAATTTTATGAACAGACTTGGAGGATTTTTGAACTTTAATGAGGACTGGGCTGGTTTGGTCGGTCTAAAGATGTTCGTAATTTGTGTGGAATTGAGATAGAAATGTGTTTACTTATTTTTCACATAATAAGCGTCGCAAATAGGCTGATTTGTGACATTATCCTCATTTATACAGTGGTGGGTTAATGATTATACGCCTTTTTTCTTATTAGGGAGTAATATGTCTTTATTCTCACTACCCATACATAACCATGTAAAAATTGATCCTACTACAACCAAAGTTATGAGACTTCTGTGTTGTAACTATTTTTTGGATAGTAAAATTGATCCTACTAAAAAATTTATGAGACTAATGTGTTGAGAAGTTAGCATGACCTGCTATATGATTAGGGGGCCAAATATGTTGCATTTTTTAAAAAAATTATTTTCCAAAAAAAGAACAAGAAAAGGATCACATTTACCATTCTTTGTGTTCCAAATTAAATCACATCTTTGAAAGCGAGTCAAATAAGATTTTCTTCATTTTTTTTCTATTTTTGTTAGTTTTTTAATAAGATAATAATATAGTCTTGTCATTATTAGTTTTGTAATTCTTTTAATGTAATTTATAAATATATAATTTTTCTTTTTAAATTTTATATCATTTTTTATATAAAATAATTTGAAAATAAATTCAGTTAAATATTGTAAATAAAAATAGGCAAATTAAATTGAGAATAAAAAAGTACTTTACACAAAAATTGTCAAATTAATTTATTTTTAGAAAGTAAAAAAAATTATTGTTAAATTCGTTTTAACATAAAAATTATAAAAATTTTATACCAGAAATTTATTGGACTTGACATTAGTTTATTTTTAAAAAGCAAAAAAAATATATTTGCATGAATTTCCACAAATAAAAATTCAAAATTTTTTAAAATAATCACATGTTTTTTGTCATCTAATCACATTATTTTACTTTTACTTTTGAACTTTATTGTAATTGCCACATAATAATAATAATAATAATAATAATAATAGTAATAATAATAGTAATAATAATAATAATAATAATAATAATAATAATAATAATAATAATAATAATAAAAGGGAAAAAAGGAAAATCCCCCATAGTAACTTTTGGGATAATAATGATGAAAAGATAACGGAGAAAATGAATTTGATAGAGGAATGGACGGAATGTCCTCCAAAGTTAGTTTTCGAATAATTAAAGATACCCAGAGTATATTTTTCTAAAAGATGAGACCTGTGAATTATTATCACAAAACCGAGGGTACCCCATGGCAATTTTCTGTTTCTTTTGCTTCATTTTTTCTTTTGATCGTTTTTAAATTATTTATTTATTTTTTTAATTTTTCACTTTTTAACATTTCTTTCATTTTTATTTTAATTTTCTTAATTATGTCCTCTTTTTTATTTTTGCCTTTTTTAAAATGTTTCCACTATTTTAGTTTTCTATGTTTGATTTTTCGTTTAATTAATTTGATTAAATATAACACACTTAAAAGAAAATATAAATGATAAAGATAAAAGAAAAAATAACGAAACGAATAAAAAGAAAAAAGAAATAAATACGTAAAAAGTAAGAAATGAGAAAAGGCATAAAAGAAATAAATACGTAGTAATAGATAGAGATTTCAAAATGGAACTGAAGAAAAAGCAAACATAAACAAATACATAAAATTAAAATAGAGAAAAAGATTTTAAAAAGGAAAAAATAAATAAAAGAAGACGGGATGAAAAAACTAAAGTAGAGAGAAAGAAATGGTAAAAAGTGAAAACGAATAAAAGATAAATAAAGAGTTAAAAAAGGATCAAAAGTAATTTGACATTACTGGTCACCTCGTAATGTGCAAATTGACTTTTAGTGAAAAGATTGTAAAAATTCAGGTACTTTTGTGAAAGATTTTAAAGTTTGGATGCTGGATCGAAATTTTCGTGATAGTTTAGATACTGTTCTTGAAATTTACCCAAAAAATCGTCCCAATTACTTCTCTAGGCAATTTGTAATTTGTTAATCACATCTTCTGTTTCATCTCTCCCACCACTTTTTATCTTCATGATTTAGGTCATTATCTCTTCATTTGATCTGATTGAAATAAGTTCTGATCTGATCTTGTTCTGATCTGATCTGATTAGAATGTAGTTATACTTAAAGCTATTTTTTATCTGATCTGATCTGATTCCAATAGGAATAAGTAATAAGTAAAAAAATAAGTTGGGAGAACATTATCTTAGCCTAATAAATGACCACAAAAATTAAGCAGAACTTGTGAATTACTCTCTGCCCCAACATGTAAGCAACATTTAAAACGATGCGCAAAATATCATCATTTTTAAAATCATTTTACTTGGTAGAGAAATATTCAAAAATAAATCAAAATGTTTACAAAAAAATGCGACAATAATATTTTATTGAGTAAATTCCATAAAAGGTCCCCAATTTAGGTTGTTTTATATATTTAGTCTCTACATATCAAATATTACTAATTTAGTCCCAAATTATTAGATTCATTTCCATGAATAATATTTTGTTAACATTTTCCTTAAGAACATGGATAAAATTATAAATTCACACTCATTTCTCTCATCAATTAAGCTTCCTCCCTCCCCTCGCACACCTTTTCCAAACTCGTCGCTGAGTTTTAAGCTTTGAACCCAAAATTGAAATCATCACTCTTCTCTCAATTGTTTGTCGAATTGGTGCAACCCCAATTCGAAACCAGTAATCTTCATGGATGAGTTTTAATATTTTCTTTGCAATTTCTTGAGACTAACCGATAAAACTTATTCATAAATCTTATTGGTTTTGATTTTAGGTTCCACCAGAAGACTAATAATTAGGAGAGGAGTGATCATTTCAATTTTGAGTTTAGAGCTTCAAACTTAGTGACAAGTTTGGGAATTGAAAGAGTATGATAGGAAGAAGGAAGTTTAATTGGTGAGAGAGAGAAATTGAATACACAATTTTATCCATGTTTTTAACAAAAACATTAACAAAGGATCATTTGTGAAAAATGATATAATAATTGGAGACTAAATTAGTAATATTTGATATGTAGGAATTAAATATGTAAAACAACCTGAAAAGTTTTTATGGAATTTACTCTATTTTATTTTATCAAAAGCTCAACCAAAACGAGTAAACAAATAAAAATTTATGGAAACCAACATCCTTTTTAATTACTATTAGAAATTGCGATTCTTAAACGGGACGATTCACGGGAATTAAGTAACGAATAACGATGAGCGGCGGATGGCGGTGGTGATTGTGGAGGAAGCTGCCTTTGCTGGTGGTTCACGACGGAGGAGGCATGTGACGGCGGTGCGGTATGTATGTACGGAGGAGGCATGTGACTGCATTTTAATTCATAAAACTTTGCGGCCCATTGGACTTACTTGGCCCATTATCATTACTTTCATGTTGTCCAGTGGCCACGGAAGCCACTGCCCCTACGGAACTCTGTTCATAAAATTGATGATTGTTAGCCTTAGTTTGCTAAGTCTCATGTTTTGATGTTAACAAACAATATAAAGAGTTTGACATTTCTTTAAGTGTTTCAGGTACAACAAGAATCTATTAAGATTCGGTACTCAAGAATGAAGTCGAAACACCAAACTAGCGTAGAATGTAAGAATATGATTTTATATACCTATATTCACAAGCTCAAAAGCACTCACAAACTATGTTTAAAATCGTCCAATAAACGTTTTTAAATATCCAAAAAATTTTAAACTCAAATACGAAGGATTACAGGAATTTTGGAAAAATCAGGACAGTGGCACGGTACCCCTAGCGGTACCCCAAACGGTAGGGTATACCGCCTACACGGTACCCCCATACCGTGTAACGGTACCCAGGTACCGTACGGTAGGCACAGACGGTAGGCCACCCCGTCCTAACCCGGTACCGCCAGAGGCGAAAACTTATTTTGGCCTATACGGTACCCCCACACGGTAGGCCGTACCGTGTCACGGTACCTAGGTACCGGATGCCACGGACCCCCTACCGTGAAGGGTACCGGATCCGTTACAGCATTGTAGCAAAATTGCCAATTTGAATTAAATCAACTCTAATCACCTCCCAACGACTAATTAACATCTTCCACTATAAATATAAGCCTAGTCCTTCATATTTCTTCAAAAAAAGCTCCAAACATCCTACTTTAATATTCTAAGTGTGTTCACTCCTTTATTAATTATTTTCTATATTTTGGCTATTTTAAGAGCCTTTCTTAAAGTTCCAGATTTTTATACACACACTTTGAGCTTGTGTTTCTAGCTATATACTCTCATATTCATAAGTTTGAATTGTATTTTTGAGAGAGTATACTTGTCTTCTACACCGGCTAAGTTTTGTTCTTCATTTTTATATTCAGGCCGTTGTGTAGAACTATTGTTTGTGTTTTTCAAACACACCTTCTTACGGTCGAGAATAGCCGTTAAATTCTCACGTTGTAACGGTTAAGGATAGCCATATAAATCCTTGGGTAAAGGTTCAAGGATAGCCTTTGAAATCCTTGGGGGAACGGTACGAGATAGCCGTTGTAAAATCTCGGAGTGAATCCTATTGGCAAGGGTTGTTTGCCAAACTAGTGCGGTGCCTTAACGGAGTTCAAGAAGCCAGAACTTAGTTGATTCAGAAATCCTTGAGGAGCCTCGAGGTACTGGAGTAGGGAGTTCCCGAACCAATATAAAATCGGTGTGTCTTTTACTTAACGCTTTTATTTTTACGTTTTACTTATTGATTCCGCATTTGCCAACACTGTTTTTATTAAACTCCAAAAAGATTTTAAAATGCCTTATTCACTCCCCTCTAAGGCGTGGGCACAACGACTAAACTGAATAATGATGATTCCTACCCCCCTTAACCCACCCCCGGTAAACCCCCGCCAAGTCTCGACCCAAACTCATCACCCCACCTACGTCAATTGCACTTCGTAAGCATAATTGACTTTAAAGACAAAAGTTTTGACTTTATGCTTACGAGGTGCAATTGATGTAGGAAGGGTGATGAATTTAGCTCGAGACTTGGACTTGGCGGGGGAACCAGGCCGTTAGTACAAATGTTATTTACAAGTAGTTAGTAGAAATGCCAAGCAAACATGTTTGACCCCCCCCCCCCAAGAGCGATAAGTATCTGAACTTCAATAAGTTGTAAAAAAAATATAAACATATTTTACATTGTAATATACTACCTCCGTTCCACTATATTCGTCCACTTTTAACTTATGAAAATGTTCATCTAAGCACTTTAACTTATCAAATTCTCTCAATGTGTAAATCTAAATATAGTCATGTATGATCTTGTTTGATTTGTCTTAACATATAGATTATTAATACTCCCTCCGTCCCATATCTTTCTTCTCACTTTCCTTTTTGGGCCGTCCCATTTGATTCTTCCCATTTCCTTATTTGGAAAACAAAATTTTTCAAAAGGACTAACTTACCCTTTCTTTTTTCTCCTCTACGTTAAGGCCANACCCCCCCCCCCCCCCCCCTCCCTCAACTTTTCCTTTTTCTTCCTTTTTCTCTCTCTTACCTCCCCAATTTCTTTTTCTCTTCTTCCGTCACACTTCCCCCACCTCCCATTCTTTCTTTCTTCTTCTTCTTCTTCTCTCCATGTTCATAAAAATTTCTTTGTCATCCCCCCACCCCAGCTAAGCTTCAATGGTAAAAGGGCCGAAAAATGTGAGAAGCTACAAGCGGCAGAGGGTAGTGGTGAAGGGGCGTCGACGAAAGATGGGGTGACAAATCTTTCAGATCTAAACGGTGGCAACTCTTTTAGATCTGATTTTCCTTCTTCTTTTCATCTTTTCAAAATTTTCTTTTTCAATCTCTTTGAGGCATAATCAAAGATTTGATTTTCTAAAATTTAAGAGATTCAGTTTCGATTTTAATTTGGTGGCAGTTAAGGCAGAGGGAAGGGGTAGGACGAGTTTGAAATTAAAGAAGAAGATGTTTGGATTTGGGGTTGATTTGAGGACTAAGGGCATGGGGCGAGGTTTGACATTGATGAATTAAAGAAGAAAAAGAATGAGAAAGAGTGTGATTGGTGTAATGGAGGGCAGAGAGGGGGGAGGTGGGGAATTGGGGATGGGGTGTTGATGTCGAGGAAGAAGAAGGGTAGAGAGGGGGGAGGAAAAGGAAAGGAGGCCAGGCATGCGTTTGTTCAGAAGGGACAACCGGGCACAAGGGAAATATTAGGAGGGTAAAATGGGAAAGTCAAAGTAATTTTCACTCTACATTAAAACCCGTGCCAAGTCAAACTGGGAAGTTTCAACCGGGACGGAGGGAGTATATAATTTCTATAATTTTTTAATATACAAATTAGAAGATAAAATGGATTAAAAAAGTGCATTACATGATGTGTAAAAATGAAAATGAACAAATACTCTTAGATGGAGGGAGTACTTATTTGTGATAAAAAAGATCTGCGGAGTATATTTCAACCTTGTTTGGTTCTCTTTCAGTTTTTTTTGCATATTAAATACTCATTCCGTCCTAATTTGGATAGGAAACACTACTCACAAATAAAGCCTATACCATTTAAATTGTCTCTTAGTAGAAAATTTAAAAACAAAATTTATGTCTATAGAAACTACATAAAGAAGAGCTACAAATAATAGGCAACAAGGTTGTCTTATTTAATCAAATGATAAACAAACATATACTTTATCTGTGCCCAACCTTGTTTGTAGCTGCGGTCCGTTCGTCGTTACCACCCTTTGGCCGTCTTGAATAAGTGAATTATAGACTAAGAATCAGTAAATCTATCTCGAATCTGTCACTAATTCTTGGGTTGACAGTAAATTTGTGAATCTGGCCAAGAATAATAGAAATGTGTGCATTAGTTGACAAATTTGTAACTCAATGCATGCAGATTAGGCTAAATAGAATTTCAGAATATACCATCAAATTCTTCGATAATAAAACTCATAATATGTGAATAACAATGTTTTTTTTAAACATCATTGAAATTGGGTCTTCTCCATCCTCCTTCCATTGCAAGAGTCAAACTAAAAACATATACGTCAAGCACATCAATCTATAAAGAATGTGAAATAATTACTACTGGTCTATGAAGTTGAAAACAGAATTATGCAACATTCACATCTGCAATTAATAAAATTAAAGAAAAAAAAGCATACAATCCATGCACTAAAGTTGTGTTAGAAAAATGAAAGTTAAATATTCTCCTAAATGAGCAACAAATAGTGTTAATTTAATGCTCCAAAACATGAAAAAAGAACCTGAACTTTTTTAATTTTCAAAGTTTCAATTTTTTTTGATAATTTACGTTTCCTACAATTGTTATTCTACAAAACGCATATTAAAACCTCTAAATGATGGTTTTAGTGATGTTATCTCAAATAAAACAAGCTACACGAAGCTCAGTAATCTCTTTGTATTAATGAATATTTTCAGTTCTCAAGTTCTCCTCTCCCCTTACACAAACACCAAAAGAACAAAGATGGTGAAGAGTCGTTTTATAATCTCAACACCATCATAGAGATGGGTGGAGTGAAGGACTCTTGAAATATGAACAAGTGAAACATGCGGATATGAACACGTAAAACAGGCTAATTTGAACCCATAAAATAATAGGCAAGCACTTTCGTAAACAAAATCAGTTACCACAAGCATGGTTCTCTTAGTAATCCAAAGAGAGTAATTTTTTCTTTTTTATATCTTAGTTTGTAATTTAGCTAATTTATGAACTAATATATTAGTTTTATCTAGGTAACTTGTAAATTACTCCGTAGTAATTAGTAATTAGCTAATTTATGCATGCGCATGTCTTAAAACACATCTACTTTATTCACAAGTTATTCATAGTAAATGAACTAATCCATTCAAATGCATACTCATCATTAGAATCTGCCAATAGAAGGAAAAAAACACATACAACTTTCTGCCATAGTGTGTTTACTTTGCTTATGTCCATCCAACAAATTTCATCTAGAAAAACTATAAATAACTGAAGAAAGAACAAGGAGTGATAAACAAATCTCTATAGCTAAAAATGGAAATAAACTAACTCACTTCCCCGTGATGTGAATAAAATAAAACGATGCAGCCAAGGAAAGCTAAAAAATAAAATTAAGAAAACTGAATTTCAAACCACCCACGGATAGCTAAATTATAGTACTGAGAAGTGAGAACCAAATTTGGAAAACAACGGGTGGACAGAGTGACAAACAATTGTGAGAGAAGCTAAGCTAAGATCTGCACATCGAACAAATTCCAACCTAAAATTACCATCCATTTTCCAACCTTAAAATTAACCCTAAGATGACGAATTCCAATAATAATTTATCACTTTATAAAATTTTCAACAATAAAATTTCCAACAATTCAAACACCAACGAACTATCCAATTAATCCTAATATAAACAATACTCACAATTTCAAGAAAAAGTAAATGTTGGAATTCAATAAAGAGAATAAACACAAGAAATTAGAGATTCGGACATACCCCAAATCTGGATGCAATTGGTTGGAATCAGACTGCAGGGGCGACTACAAACTGGAATGGTAATAGGCAAGATAGTGGCCCGAAGATATGGTTGGAATTGGCTGCTTCGAGGACATGGTTCTAGTCACAACAGGCATGAATTTGTACATCGCAGATATTTCCGAAACTGTGGAGGTGTGGAGCCGTGGAGCATTGTCGTGATGGTGATGCCAGATAAGGGCGGTAACCTTTGGGTCAATGGTGGCGAAGGCGGGGCAGGGACTTGAAAGGTAGAAACATCGCGGGAATAGTTTAGGAGTAGGCCAGCAGTACATAACGGGAGTGCTAATGGAATGACGGAAAAAGCACTAAAATTGTTAGATTTAACAAAGTTAGCCCTTATAAAATTAGGGTAGATTTGTCTAGAAAAAACCCAAATGGACCAATCATTTAATTTGTTTCACAAGGGAATAATATTCCTCAACTCCAACACTCCTCTATTCCCCACACACCTCCTCTAACCATTCTCCCCATTACGGATACCCTAAATATGATGTTGGTCCATCCGAATCGCCACGCCATGTGATAGTGAATAGACCACCATTAGTGTTCTGGAAAATCCATTTTTTAATGGTCACTTCAGTTGTGCCTAGTGCATGGGAAAAGAACCTCTCCCTATGGGATACCTCCGTCCACTCCAACTTCGGTATAAATTTATGAAATGCGGGACATGCTGTTTTCTGCAACTCAGATATGTTATATGGAGTGTATGACTCCCTGAAAACCGAGCCCACGGGCACAATCAAGTTCAAGTGCATAAGGTTGTCAAGTAACTTTTCAATTCGCTCTTGATTGCCGAAAAGCTGCCCCCAAAAACCATTGTGGGACAGATCCAACGTCAATTGCTCCACACGACACTCAGTAGAATCATGAAAGACTCGATGAAGGGGGTCACGTTCCATGTTGGGGAAATTTTCTGTAGCCAATGCATAAGATGCATAACTTGACCCCAAAAAAAGTTCGGTCAAGCAGGGCACGTCAAGGAGCAATGCACGAGTATCTCCTGCCTCACCACTGAATTTGAAAGAAGCCAAATTGGGGGCAGATACCACTGTTACCCGTTCAATCAAACCATAGTCATGAATCTCCAAACGATTCAAAGCCTGGTGCGAAACGTTCAAACCCGCTAACATGCGTGACCCGGCCACGCTTAGTTCTTCTAGAAAGGGGCAGTGGCCTAAGAGCTGCTCGAGCGTTTCCCCCGAAACGCATATGAACCTCAAGCGCACAACCTTCAAACAATGGCATTGCTGGGGCAATGAGAAAGTGTAGTGCCATCGTGGTTTGCACATTGGTTTTAAGAAGTTGAGATCGAGCGTCTCAACTTGTTTGGACATAACAACATCGATCCAGCGATCAATGTTGGACGCTATGCTTGGGTCGTTGAGGACATAAATGACCTTAAACTCCTTCAAGTATGGGTATTTCAACTCCTCCAAAAGTAGGCGATCCATGATACGAACAAATTTTGACCTCCAAGAAGGAATCTGGTCCTCACCCAGGGACATCTCAGAAGGCAATTCCATGTCAATGCTTAAAGATCCTGAAAAATAGTTTGACCACAATGCCCTCCACCCTTTGCACACCACACTGGTTCTCGCCTGTTCTTTCAGAGGCAGAAATTGCAAAATCATCCCAATTACCTCTTTAGGCAATTTGTTAATCTCATCATTTATTTTATCTTTCCCACTTCTGATCTCCATTATTTAACCTAATATATGAAGGGAAAAAAAATAAACAGAACTCGTGAATGATTAATACTCCGTAGATTAGGATGATTTTTTCGATCAATTAAATGATGCAACAAAGAGTTTTAATTGCGTAAAATATGAAATGCAACATCCTTTCAAATTACTACTGGAAATCGCGATTCGTAAACGGTAAAACATTACATGATCGCTGAAATAATTCTAAACTAATGAAAAATTGAATTAAACGACAACTTAATTAACCTATGGGCGCAAAGAAAGAACCTAAGAGAGACGTAATTTCGGAGTAAGGTAGGCGGCGGTGGCGATGGAGATAAAGCTGCCGCTGCTGGCGGTTGACGACGGAGGGGGCGTGCGGTGGCTTGTGTGATATCTAATCACTAGGAGTATTATGTAGGGAAGCCCATAGAACTCATGTCCATTGGAGCTAGGCCATTCCCATTGAACTAAATGTGATATCAAATCACTAAATGGCTTTGTGTGATATCAAATCACTAATGATCCGGAGTAAAACTCAGGCCCATTGAACTTGGCCCATTCCCATTAGTTTCAGTTTTTTAAAATGTGAATTTATAATATTTTTAATATAATTAATGGTATTAAACACGACCTTTTAGTGTTAGTATTTTTAACTATTGTGAACCATTAAAAATTTGTTCAAAAGTATAATTCGTTTGAAATAAGTTTTTTTTTTCATTTTTTTGCATAAGATTGACCCGGTTATATACTCCTTCTAAAAGAACTACTTAGAGTAACTCTTCTTTATTTGTCTAAAAAAATTTACACTTTATCTATTTTCTACTTTATTTTCTTTTTAAAAATATATTCTACTCTATGATTGAACGATTGACTCATTATTTCTCTATAACATTCTTGTAGCTTTTTGTAAATGAACGATTGACTCATTATTTCTCTATAACATTCTTGTAGCTTTTTCCAAATTCAAAATTTTTTGGACTTGCTCCGGAGTATATTTTGAGATATACGAACTAAAATAAAACAAAAAAAGAATATAGAGTACATAATACCTTGCAAATTAATTTGGCAATTACCTATTTTGATCCAAAATACATTGTAATTGCTTTGGATTGAAGGAGATGGTAGAGCAGAATTTTTCCTTTTAAAAAAGACATCGATTTAAGAAGGAAAAAAGATTTATTTTTCCAAAATGCTATAAAAACATACCATTCAAAGATGAAGTAAATTTGGAAGGAATTCTCTAAATTAGCTCACTTTAGCATGCAACTATATTGCTGCATGTCAAATTCTTGTATTGCCAAATATCAACTTCTCAGAGTCCAAACTCTCAAATTTTATATTAAAGGATTAGTTATGCACATATATTTCTTTGAACGAACTTTATTAAATTTATATTTAAGTTAATGGTCTTATGTCAAAAAAGGTATTATCGAATAGGTCGCTATATATCTTGAAAAAATAACAACTACATGACTATTAGACAATAATACTAATAGTATTTCTTATAGTATTGGTTATGGTAGTGTTTCATTATTAGTCAGCTTCCTAATCCTATTTGTGGTAGATGTTGTATGTTAGTTAATTTCCATTCTCTATTCCTAGTTGTGTTAGGAGTCTCTCCTATATATACTCTATCATGTACTCCATAATTCAATGAGCAATATTACTATTCCAATTTTCAACATGGTATCAGAGCCACCGCTCTTTGTGATCTAAAAAAAGAAGTTCTTTGCTCCCACCGCCGCCGCCGGTAATTCCGGCGACGGCGGCTCCACCCTATTCACCTCTATTTTCTTTTCCTTCTTTATCCTCGAATCAACTTCTCCATTCAAATGAAAAAAAAAAGAAAAAAACCCCTGTTGAAATCACACACAAAAATCTATCAAAGGAAGAACTTTTCTCTTATCATCTCTATGGTTCTTCAAAAAAACCCAACTCCTCACATACTCTCTCAGATGATCCTATCTTCTCAAAAACAAGGAAAAAAAATGATTGTTGTTTCTCTCCAATTCACCATATCAAAATCTCAGACCCAATTTTTTTCCCATCACCAATTCTTAACCTACTTTTTCTCTCTAAAATCACTCATTCTAATCATCAACCTCCCTTCTCTTTCTCTTCTGTTAAACCAATAAAAATCCAAAGTAAATCAACACAAAAGCAAAGCCAAGAGGGGAAGTAGTGAAAGAGGAAATAAGACCTCTACAACTCACCCCTTCAAGAAAGAAATATGGCATTGCCCGGATCCAAGAAAAAGACAAAAAAACGTCAAGGATCTTCAGTCAAACAGGCACCTCCAGCAGCCTTCTCTATTCTTCTTCGATGTCAGCAACTATAAGCACACGTCAACCTTCTCTCTTCTTCATCGACGTCAGCAGCTACTAGCGCACGTCAGACTTCTCTCTTCTCCAACAACGTCAGCAGCTACTGGCGCATGTCGGACTTCTCTCTTCTCCAACGACGTCAGCAGCCACCGGCGCGCGTTACACTTCTCTCTTCTATAACAACGTGACCAGCCACCAGAACATGTCGTCAGACTTCTCTCTTCTCAAAGTTTCCAGTTTCCAGCTAGTGTCCAAGCTTCCTCTTGCTTCAGCCAGAGTTCAGCTTGAGGGGGGATATTAGACAATAATACTAATAGTATTTCTTGTAGTATTGGTTATGGTAGTGTTTCATTATTAGTCAGCTTCCTAATCCTATTTGTGGTAGATGTTGTATGTTAGTTAGTTTCCATTCTCTATTCCTAGTTGTGTTAGGAGTCTCTCCTATATATACTCTATCATGTACTCCATAATTCAATGAGAAATATTATTATTCTCAAACCAAAAACCTACTCCATAATTCAATGAGCAATATTATTATTTCAACAATGACTTCTCATTGTATGAGCATATATAATATTTTCATTTGACTTTTAACAATCTTCAATATAACATTTTAACCATTAATATCCATATTTACACTTATCATTGTTAGAGATAAAAGAAGGAAACAAGATTGAAGAAGGAAGCAGGATTGAAGAAGGAAACTGAATCCCTTTGGAATTAGGTTTAGTATCTTTCCTAGTTTGATTTGGTTTAGTATTTAATATCTTTCCTATTTTGTTTAATTCTTATTTTAGTAGGAATAGAAATTTCCTTATTTACTTTACCCTCTTCCTATATAAAATTCCTATATAAAGAGGGTTAGATCTTTGTATTCAGATTCAATTTCATAAGAGAGTAATACAGAGAATTTCCTCCAAAATAATTCTTTCATGGTATCGGAGCCAGTTTTGAATTCTTGAGACCTCAAACACGCTTCTTCCCCTGCCGGTGGGCATACACAATTCAATGCCTACCGGCGGGATATTGTGATTTTTTTATTTTTTTATTATCCTCCCTCATTCTTGAAGAAGTGGTTGGACAAGGGTTGTTCTACAGAGACAAACAACTCTTTTCGCGTCTACTGTTCCCGATCGACCGGCATCGTGTCCATCGATCGTCGCCTGTTGTTGTTGTTGTTGAAGTACCAGAACGGTCGACCGTTGCTGAAGAACGGTCGAGTCGGTCGACCGTTCCGATGGCAGTTTTTCTTGAACACGGTTACTATTCACGATCGCCCGGCATCGCGTCCATCGGTCGTTGCTCAGTTTCTGTAGTTTGGAGCAGTTCCCAATTTGTACGTGTAGGAATTGCACGTGGGACCTGCTGGAGAAGCTTGCGCAGATACACGAACCGAGAGAACGTTTCTTTCAGGTTTGAAGCAGTTCCCAATTTAAACGTGTAGGAATTGCACGTAGGACCTGCCAGAGAAGCTTGCGCAGATGCGCGAACCGAGGGAACGTTTCTTGCAAGTTTGGAGCAGATCCCAATTTGTACGTGTAGGAATTTGATACAGCACAAGGGAGAGCCACACCCTAAAAGCTAGCTGATAAGGTGGGAGAACCCTTGGCTATATAAACCCATCACCAAGTTCCCCATATAACCGGTGTGGGACAATGAAATCAGTCCGTATCATTCGACCCCCCAAAAGGCCCAACGTCCTCGTTGGTCACGGCTACGTTGGTCACGGCCACGTTGGTCACGGCTGGTTTCACCAGGCCACCACTCCGTGGGCCACCACTCCGTAGGCCACCACTCCGAGTTGGCTCTGATACCATTGATACAGCACAAGGGAGAGCCACACCCTAAAAGCTAGCTGATAAGGTGGGAGAACCCTTGGCTATATAAACCCATCACCAAGTTCCCCATATAAATGATACAGACTGATTTCATTGTCCCACACCGGTTATATGGGGAACTTGGTGATGGGTTTATATAGCCAAGGGTTCTCCCACCTTATCAGCTAGCTTTTAGGGTGTGGCTCTCCCTTGTGCTGTATCAGAATTGCACTTGGGACCTGTCGGAGAAGCTTGCGCAGATGTGCGAACCGACAGAACGGTTTTCTTTATGTCCAAGCTGGGCATGTTGACTCCCATGCTCCAGCTTGAGGAGGGATGTTAGAGATAAAAGAAGGAAACAAGATTGAAGAAGGAAGTAGGATTGAAGAAGGAAACCGAATCTCTTTGGAATTAGGTTTAGTATCTTTCCTAGTTTGATTTGGTTTAGTATTTAATATCTTTCCTAGTTTGTTTAATTCTTATTTTAGTAGGAATAAAAATTTCCTTATTTACTTTACCCTCTTCCTATATAAAGAAGGTTAGATATTTGTATTCAGATTAAGTTTCACAATAGAGTAATACAGAGAATTTCCTCCAAAATAATTCTTTCACATCTGAATACAAAGATCTAACCCTCTTTATATAGGAAGAGGGTAAAATAAATAAGGAAATTTGTATTCCTACTAAAATAAGAATTAAACAAACTAGAAAAGATATTAAATACTAAACCAAATCAAACTAGGAAAGATACTAAACCTAATTCTAAAGGGATTCGGTTTTCATCTTCAATCCTGCTTCCTTCTTCAATCTTGTTTCCTTCTTTTATCTCTAACAATCATATCTCATGAAAAATTCATAATTAATGAGGGCAAATTAGTGAATGGTCATTTCATTAATTATAGCCACTACACGAGTCCACGACTCTCTGTCTATTTTGGGAGAGTATTAAGATTCCTTATTTATGGTTTCAACATCAATTTTTATCAAATAATCCAAATTTTTATTTCCCCAAATTCTCTTCCNCCCCCCCCCCCCCCCCTCAAATTTTTTCTTCCGAGTTATTATTAGGTTCTCTCAATCATTTATGTTTGTATCCATATTTTTAGATAAGGTAAAATAATAATGTCACTTTGTTTTGTAAAATTTTTTATATAATTTTAAACAAAATAATTTGTACTTTTTATTGTTATACCAACTTGTAAATAAAATAATTTTTAAAAAGATGATATTTTGCATATATGTTTTTTGAAATGGTAAGAAAGAAATAGACAGAGAGAGTATTTTTTCTATTTTATACTTTTATTCACTTCACTA